CAGGTGTGGTGGCTCACATCTGTAATCTCAGCACTTTGGGACACCTAGGCGGGTGGATCACCTGAGGTCAGGAGTTCGAGACCAGCCTGGCCGACATGGTGAAACCCTGTCTCTACTAAAAATACAAAATTATCCAGGCGTGGTGTGTGTCTATAAACCCGTTACTTGGAGGCTGTGGCAGGAGAATTGCTTGAACCTGGGAGGTGGAGGTTGCAGTGAGCTGAGATTGTGCCATTGCACTCCAGCCTGGGTGACAGGGTGAGAATCCATCTCAAAAAATAAATAAATAAATAAATAAATAAAAACAAAGGAAAAAAAATTAAACTGGAGATATTCCCCTGGCCCACTGACATTTGAGTCTCTGTTGTATGTCTAGTAGAGGATTAGAAATATGCCTGAAAAATTGAAAGCAAAAAAAGAAATATGTGAGGTGATAGATATGTTAATTAGCTTGATTTAATCATTCCACAATGCATACATATATCAAAACATCACATTGTATCCCATAAATATATACAATTTTTATGTCAATTAAAAATAAATGAATAAAAAATCAAAGGTGAAAGCAATACATTTGAAATCTCCTTTACATTTGAAATTTGATATCAAGATTGAAAACAGGATGCTTCATTGGAAGATGGGATTTTAATATGAAAAGATAGTCAACTAAGGACTCAATGTATTTGGCATGATCCATATCCCAGGTTTAGTGTGCTAAGTGACTTGGGGGCTTCTACAGTGTATAAACTCCATGTGCAAGCATGAAAGATCGCCGTCTGGTGAAAGCTGGTCAGATGGAGAGGAACTGTGGAATTGCCAATCATCAGTGGGATGGTTTTCCCTGCTGATTTTGTTTCTGTGTAGGTGTGGGATGATGTAAATACATATTTTAGGCGTTAGAGAAACTCAAGTAGTACAAAATACAGGAATTTTTTTTGAAAGACTTGGCCATTTGTTATTACATTGATTTTTTAAACTATCTTTAAAAGGAAAAAAATACTGTACACATTTGCCTCAAATGTAACAAGTTTAGTCTTATTTTTATAAAGAAATGCAGGGGTCTAGGTTGGCATACACAGCCTCTTCAGATAAAACATTTCTGTTTATATTCATGAACGATTCCTGTATAGATACTGCAAATAAGCGGTATAAACATCTAGGCTTGTTAATGTTCAGAAGGGCCTTGCTATGACAATGTAGAGGGGCACCAAAAAAGGCCTGTGTGTCTCTTGACTTTAGGTAAAAATGATAATTTATTAATGCCCCTTGATGCAAAGTATTACAACTCTTTGTGGGAGATTGTTCTGGGTACATTTTTGATTAAACTCCACCTGAGCACATGCTGCCTGTCATGGAGAAAAGTGACATGACTCACACTTTGTAAAGCTCTTAAGTTTCATTGTTATGTTTTTCTAGTAGGGTTTTATGCTTATCTGTCTCAAAACTGACGAAGCTGAACTCATTATGTGCTCTAGCATTTTGATACTTTTTCCTAGTTTGAAAATAGTTTATTATGACCAGAATCACCCATTTGCCTAGTGTGAAGAAACCCAACTAAAATACTGTGAAACACAATATAACTATGGTTCTTTCTGGAGGAATAGGTGATAAGATTTCTGAATACTGAATTAATGGTTACTTTGATTGTCAAGCTGTGGTCTTATGATCTATTTCCATGGAAGCAACTTAAAAATTTATTGTGATTTAGCCCAAAACTTTACAAAATAATATGCAATTTCAGGAACTAGCAATGACAATAAGAGAGGGGCCATGTTTAAATGTTTAAACTAATTTATGTCTAGGGTGAGGATCTTTTCCAACATTACTAAATATTCAACATAGCTTTTCTTCTTTTTTTGTTTTCTCACCTACTACAATTGGACTGTTAAAGGAACATCGAAGAATAATGACTATTTTGTCATTAATTATTGGCAGAAGTTATCTTTGATGTTAAAAATACTAAGAGCATTGGCTATGTAGACATACTTTTTACAAGTTTGAAATATTTGCACATTTACAGAAATGAGAGAAGTTTGATCAAGAAATTACTAAAACCAAGCTGAAATTTATTTTGTTTGGGCCTAGCATTCAATAATTCAATAATTCTGCTCATGGGTTCTAAGCCCGAGTATAAACCATAACAAATAGTGGGTGGTTGTATTATGGGATTGTAGGCAATAGGAAAAGAGCTTGCGTGTATTCTAACTTGCTGAAGAGGAATTACAGGTCAAAAATTCAAAAGAAAATGTGAGGGTTCCTTTATTTAGAAAAGCATAGATTCAGGCTCTATACCTTTATCTTATAGAGAATCCAGAAAAACTTACATTATTCTCAGCTCATATATTCAGTCATTCTTCACAGATTTGGTTGTTTTCAGCTTCTCAATAATTATTTTTTCCCTGTTATAGTGTATGGCAAGATATTTTGGGGGGAACTGTACTAGGGTTCCTCTTAATGTCTACTCCCAACTACTGTGTGTGTGTGTGTGTGTGTGAGAGAGAGAGAGAGAGAGAGAGAGAATATGAATATGACTGGTATAAGCTTCTAGTCTTGGGTAGTTCTTCTATTGCTTGTGTGACTTTTCCTAAATGGATGTTGCCTATCACCAGGCTTCCATGCATGGCACTTCCTTTCCTTGAGGTGAATGAAATTCACCAGTTTTCCCATCAAACTGATGCTAGGGATAAATGGAAACTGCCCACTTCTTCCTAAGATGAGGAGTTGGCAAGATGGCGGGACCACCCCATATGTCCTTCCCCACTTCTTTCCCCTTTCTCTGGATCACCAAGCAAATATTCTAAATAAATTTCCACAATTCCAGACCTTGGGAGAGATCTCTGTGGCTTTGGGTCTATGCTGTTCTTGCTTATGACTTGGAAAATTCTAACAAATGCAGTTTTCTCACTATGAAGCTGTTAACAATTTTTAAATTGCAAGGCACATTCACGTTTCCAGGTTTTTTTTCATTAAAGGATATTTTACCTGCTCTTAGCTATGCTCATGCACAAGAAACATATAGAAAGGGAAGATAACATTTTTTCAATGGTATCCTGCAGACATCTGAAGCCCTTGGCCTGCCAAACCTTACAGAACCATAGGATTGGGCTTGCCAAGGCATTTCAATGTGCCTCAAATGTGTCGGGCGTATTGTAAAAGGTGGTGTGCATGTGTATGTGTATCTGCACATTTGTGATATGTGTGTATGTAAACATGTGCATATGTATATGTTTCTATGTGTTATAGTTGTGCACAAATATATGCATGTGTACATATATGTGCCTGTGTGTGTGTGTGTGAAGCAGAGCCAATGGGTCACTACCAGTTTGCCCAGTCATCCACAGTCCTGGGAGGCATCATGACAACTGCCTTGGTGATTCTGGATCAGTGGGCAAAGGCAATTTTGACAGGATGGTAATTTAAAGAATAAATATCTGAAAGGCTGAGCTAAACATGTTCAAGGTTCATCCTAGGAAATTGTTAAGGAATCATTAAGGAAATTGTTTTGCCGAAGAGAATGTTACCAGTTTTCCTAAGCATGAACCTGGAATGAGGAATGGAAATGGGCTGCGTCTTTTCCACTTTGCAGGAATTAGACAAAGCACTTTGTAGATCCCAAAGAACAAAGCCCTCAAACTTCACATCAGATGCTACAAAGTTGAACTAACATTCCTCCATCTCAACAGAAGGCTTTCCTTATCATGGCTGGGCAGAGGATGATGGAAGGGGCACTGATCAGCCATTGGTGCCTCCTTGGTGTTTCAAACAAGGCCAAGTAGGGATTCACTCAGCCTTTCCCTTAGGTCAAGTCAGGTGGATTCCATTGTGCCTGAAGTTATACCAGAAACAGTAGAGCCAACAAGTACAGTATAGTCATTTATTCTCCAACTTCCTCCAGCAGCCTGTATTTTATCTAGCTTCTGACTAGGAATCAAGAGAACTGGGCTTCTGCAT